ACATGATTGTTCTGTGCTTCAACACCCAAACAGCTAGCAGGGAAAATATCCACCAGTCATAGCATTTCTTCTGGAATAGGCTAGGTCTGGTTACAAATTCCTTTACTTTTGGTTTCCTACCTATTCTCTCCTAGGCTCCATTTTGACCGTACACATAAAATTCATCATCATGAAATAGATGAGAAGCATGAAGAGAGATGGATCAAGCAGTACAATGATTTAAGACTAAGGGTGGGTCTGATTGCAGGATTTCCTAATCTCCTAAATTCCATTTTGATTACAAATAAATTATTATAGCCATGTGACAATCATGAAAGAGGTCAGACTCATGAAGGAGACAGACTACAAGTGTGTTTATTTGGGATTTTCCTCCTCTTCCTTTTCTTCATAAAGGAAATGAATGCTTTCCTCTGAAGATCGAGAAAAGATTAAAAATTTAAAAAAAATTAATTAAAAAAGAAGAAGATCGAGAGAAGGAATATTTGCCCACCAATGCACTATTTCAGCTTTGTGGAAAAATCCCTTAAGAATGTAGAATGAAAGCTGTCAATGTTAATACTGACAGAGTAGTTTAGCCCTACTACATGATTACCATTTTAATGTACTGGTCAGTGATTTTTCCACAGGGGATGTTCCTAATGTTGATACATGGCTGGGAGCTGCCTGGACACAATTGGTGCAGAGTTGTTGGACTAACTCAAAGGGAATCTTCATACTAAAAGATTCAACTCTTATGTATCTTGTACAAATTTGAAGGACCACCAATACAGTGCTGGTGTGCATAGATTTTTAGAGTCAAAAGCACCCTGGTGACAGTTTGATTGCAGATGGAAGGGGAGAGATATAGGGCTAAAATGAATCATAATATTTACACATAATGACTAGGCTTGCTTGCAACTTTTGTCTGGTCATTTCATTCCCTCAAACTTTTACCTATGGACATTTTATGATTTTCCTCAATACCTAGAGGCACATTCTGGATGAGTGGCTATCCAGATTCATCTAAATGTTACAACAATCTAGTTTTAATGGCAAAAACAGAGCCCTTATATGTCATTATTTTCTTCAAGATTTGATTTTTGATAAGCTTATACACTTTCATCTATCTTAACTTTTGAAAAATTCTCAGTATCACCCTTCCTCTTTTGACCTTACCAGCAAGAGTGACACTACAAGCATTTATCTTCTCACCAGCCTCACTGTCATATGGAACCTACTGTACTATTCCACTAATTTATTTCCATGGGAAGAGGGAATGACATAGTAAAACAACACAAAGCAAAAAAACAACAGAATTGAGGTTATTATTGGTTTATAGCAGGTTCGTTGAAATGCATCTTCTAACATGAACAGATAACATATGTAGGGAAATATTTGATTCAGATATACATGACAATGTATGTGATAATAATATAAATGTCAGACAATAACATTTAAGATACTCTATACATTGTTTTTCCTTTTTGAAGTTGAAATGGCCATTAACAAGTTACATAGGGGTCTGACCCCTGCTGAATGAAAGTCTTATCCTTGAGTTTGCAAAAAACAATTATCAACATTACATTTGTTGACTGTATGTTGACCCCTACTCTGCCTTTTCTGAAACTATTGAATGCTCTCAAAATTAGAGAAATGTTTACAATGTTGCCAAATTCTATAAATGATAGCCACCAGCATTTCAACTATTCCTCCGAATGTTGGCTGAACTCAGCAAAACATAGCTTGATCCACATACGATTCCTATATGCAAGTTGTAGGAAAATAATATCTAAGCAATGTAAGCTGATACATGGTAGAAAATTTGACTGTTTTCAGTGGAAGAACTCTGCAATTATGCACTCTGCAATGCATTATTTTACATAGTTAATTTTAAGATTGAACTGCAATTATTTTGTAATGAAGCAGAATTAGGGCCTAGAATTATGGAAGTTGTAGCTTAGTACATCTGGAAGATTAAAGATGAGAGAAGACAGATTCTTGTCAAAAGTGGACAATGGTTTCATTATCTGCATTGCATATATGTGTATTAATTTTTTTTCAATAATGCTGCTGATTGCAATAAACAGCCTAAGCAAGCAAGATTCAACTTGGTCAATAAATACTTCCTTTTCTAATTGAAATGGTTGAAGCTATAATTTATTATATTATTTTTACATGAAAGTGGTAGTGATAATGGGTAGTGTAGGAGTAGGAAAACAAAAATATGTGCAAAGGGCAAACCAGAAAAGGACCCAGTCTGGAAATACTTGGGTGAACAATAATATTTTAGTTAAAGCTTAGCTAGCTAACATTCAGATATATCTTGGTAAGAAAAGAGGTTTTTGGCATACATTAATATTAGCAATAAAAGATACTGAATACATGAAGGGAACTATTTATTACAAAAGTCTGAATAAGAGGGAAAACTTCCTCTATACACATAAGAATGATTTCAAGTTCAACCTGCAATTGTGGAAGAAGAATTCACTGATGCCATCAACTGTTCATTCCTCTACAATCTCCCAATTTACACTGTATGCATTATTTTCATATAGAAAGAAAACATGAGTTAGAATCGAAACAACTGTAGAATTGATTTGGAAAATGTTTCAGAATTAGGTAGCTAATGGGTAGGGGAATTGCTGTCAAAGACACCAAGGCCCTGGAATTATATACTGTAATCATTGGTGACTGTCACTTAACTACACACATGAGTTTTGGTATAGGTAGTCCTCGACTTACAACCATTTGTTTACTGACCATTAAGTCACAACAGCACAGAAAAAAATGATATCATTTTTCACACTTACATCCATTGCATCATCCCCATGATCATGTGATCAAAATTCAGACATTTTGCAACTGGCATGTATTTATAAGGATTGCAGTATCCCAATGATTATGTGATTACATTTTATAATATTCTGACAAGTCAAGGGGGAACTCAGATTCACTTAAGAACCATGTTACAAATTTAATACCTGCAGTGATTTGCTTAACAATGGTGGCAAGAAAAATATCCAACATCTATCTTGCTTAGCAAAATTTTGGGCTCAATTGTGGTCTTAAGTTGAGGGATACCTGTATATAACTTCCTCCTTTTTCTTCTTTGCTTTAATTACAAATAACAAATGTCATAGCAAAAATATTTCTGATTGCAAACAAAATGTACTAACAATAATACTATGTCCTCCTTCCCCGTTCTACCCACTCCAGCACAATTATATCTGAGTCACTAATCCAGATGCAAGACTAGAAGAGTTGAAGGGGCGCTTTTGTCATCCTCAGGATAGCAGTCATTATGCCAAAACATCAGCAATGCTTTATGAAGAAGAGGAACTACAAAGCCATTTATGACACAGGTCCCCTCTCCTCTTCCCCCTGTTCTTAAATTGTAGACTGCTCCTGCAGAAAGACTTCCGATCCAGAAGGAACTCGCTCAGCTTCCGAAGCCAAGGCTGCCTGGCGCAGCACACTCATGTGCTCCTCCGCCGCAGACAAGGATTGGTCAATCCAGTCCATGCGGCTGGGGAACTGGCAGGCATGCCGCGTGATCAGCACCAAGTGACTCACTGAAAGCAGCAGTGCTGTCGTCCTGCAAAAGAAACAGAAATTGGGGCAAGGCTGATGAACCAAGCCCAAGCCCAGCCTTTCCTACTCCACTGCCAAGTTTCCTCCAGCTTTTTTTAAAATTTAAAGTGTGCATGCTAAATTGATATTATAATACTAATATTTAATTACCATATTTATTTAGTTTGATGCTGCCTAATTTTAAGTAGCTATTTAACATTAATATTATAACATTTTTAATATAGTTCTAGAACTTTTGCATTTTGATTGTGACAAACAAAAATATACAATATCAAGAGAGTAAAAGAATTGAAATGGAAATAGACTGGTCACATAGCAAGAAGAACTGATGGCAAGTAGATAAAGGCAGTCATAAAATGGATCCCACTTGATAAAAAGCATCCATGAAAAAGACCTAAAACAAAATGGATCAGCAACATCAGCTAGTATTATGAAGTCAATTGTCAAAAAGAAGTTGAGGACCATATTGGTTGGAAAGGTTTTATTTTTTTAAAAATCTCATGCATATAGAAGCAGCCTTCATCCTGCAGTGGATTGACAATGGCTAAAATGATGATTAGTGAATTCAAAAAGAAAAGGCAAGAGAAAAAACAAATCATTTTGGATGAGATAATAAGATGAGAACTTAAAAGAAGTTTCCAGATAAGGTTAATATTTCTCAACATTAAGCTTCTATAGGGATAATTATCTATATTAACACTAAGAGAATGGAATAAAAATGAATTATGCAAAACAAAAAATGAATTTACACATAAACTAAAGAAATGATTGATATATAAGTCTCAAAAAAGAACAAATGATAAAATTACAAAAAGATACTATAAACATGATTATGAAAAAGTATTTCATCAATATTGTTTCCATTTATGTAAATTTCCATGGAGAAAATAGTTGAATATTTCAAGAAACAAAATTTGCTGAAGAATAGACTCGCAACAATAAGGAAAATTTGCGAGGGGAAGAGCCAAGGTCATGACGATATGGTCGTGCAGTCTCGATGCTCTGAGACCGCAGCCAATACTTTTGCTGCTGGGTGGTCCAAACGGACCTAAACCATCCCGAAGAGACGGTGAACAGGAAGAATACATTTTGCTGATCTCGGGGATATTGCAAAATCCCTGAAAGAAGCAAGAGAAGCTCTTCAAGCTGGAGGTAAAAAATCCAGCCAAGGCAGATGAAGTCGGGGTGCTACAAAATGGAAGGATACGGAAAGTGAAAGTGTTCCACCTGGTGAGGAACTTTTACTGTTTTAAAAAGAGACTGCCTATAAAAACTTAAAAATTAATTTAAATTGAAGAATAGAAGAGTCAAGCGGCCGAATTAAATTTGGAATGGTTTTGGGCAGTGGTTATCTTACTTTTTAAATGCTATCTTCATGGATGGAATTTATATAAGCCTTTTGAAATTGATGGATTAAGTTTTCTTCTTCC